TTTAACGTCATTTAAAGTTATAACATCTAAATGAAATGTAAATGTATATCTAATGCCCGGTTCACAATACAAAGCCTTCCGACATATTTATTCAACTTCAAATATTTGATCAAAGGCGTTTCTACCTGATAAACACCATAGAATCTTAAAAGACTTATACACACCCGCACCATCCGCATTTATACTATTGGTACGGCATTTATGTCGGACAGAACAATGACGGTGATGACAGTGAAGAGACGGGGGCCACGCCCACTCGCGTGTGAACGGACCTTTTAAGTCGACGCAACCTTAAAGTCGACACACGGCGCGCGGTGTAATAAAAGAAAGTCATCGATTCGGCTTAGTGGCCTACTTGACATTTACAGATTGCAGATAAACGAGCATGTGTATGCCGGTGCTGCGGTCAGCGAAATCAAAAGTGAAAAGAAGGCGTCGCTTTAAATAAAAAAAGAATATTGGTAGAAGAAATCGTTTTGTGCTTACTTGTATGGTTAATACATATTTCTGATATATGCTCAAATAATCGAGAGATCTAATAAGAATACGTGATTAGAAATTCCGGTATTTTGGATCTTGGATCACTGATTTCCTGAATTTGGATCAGGATGTAAAGGTTAAGGCCAGGATAGAGCAGGCTCGTAGCATTTTCCTCGAAATGAAACAATTCTTTTTTAATAAAGGTCTAACATTGAACACCTGCGCTTTAAGAAGCATCACGATGCAATCAGTGAGTTCGATGGAATTATAGACCCTGAAAGTGACTATAATGAGGAAGATCAAAGCCTCTGAATGTCGTTATTTCGTCGGATGCTGAAGATGTCTTCGGCGGAGCACATCAAAACTGCCGTCGGCAGTTAAAAGGCGGCAAGTGAATATTTTTTAATTTTGAGATTTTTGCATTTTTAGACTAATGTGACCCTACTCTATCTAAATATTCAAAAATATTTTTGAAAAATATTTTTTTTCTACGATATTTGAAATTTGAAAAAAGCGGCAAGTGACATAACGTCACCATTTTGGAAGTAAAAAGGCGGCAAGTGTAAATATTTAAGTTAAAAGGCGGCATTCTTGCAAATATGCCATTTATATTTAAAAAAAGATGACGTAATGATGTGTATTATGTAGTAAAAAGGCGGCATTAGACAGTAATTGCTCTATTCCTAAAAGATGGATATCAAATACATCATAAAACTTGAAGTTATAAGGCCGCATTGTTTAATACCACCCTATTCGTTAAATAAGATCGTGAAATACGTCACGAAACTTGTAGTAAAAAAACGGTATGTGACTATTGCGCCCTTTTTTAACGGTCAAAATCACCACGCGGACTTTGACGCGGACGTAAATTTGGTAGTAAGAAGGCGGTATATATTTCGCGACAGATGAATTAGTCGATTGCGAATCCAGGCACGCATCGCGTTTTTCGGCTTATGTAAAGTGATTAATAATAATTTATTATAATAATAGTGATTGGCTTCTGTGGAAAGGTAAGCTTTTAAACTATTTTTATAGGTATTTTAGATTATTATATATTATTTATTATTCAATACATATTTATATGATGAATTTGTAGCTAAATTTGTGTCATGTGTTAACAAAATATAAATTTCACCCCTGAAATTAAAAAAAAAATAATTCGAATTAGTAAAATTTATCAATAATTAAGTATTATTAATTAAATTAAGTATCATTAATTAAATACGTACTATTTTAGTGCCTCCATAAGTTTTTCTTTTAAATGGTACATCAGTAAATTTACAAATATATTTATGTTATCTTAATGTTTAATTGTTTCATATTCATATTTCGAATTAATTGGCAATAAATAAATTATTTATTGTATTTATTGAAGAAAAGATTTTTCACTCATCCATTCAATTTTTTTTATTTTAAGCATAATTTAGAGCCAGGAAAATATATATATTATAAAAATGAAAACCTTGCTATTATTTTTTTAGCTTGGATACTAAAGTATATTGATCAGAAGTGTAAATTTGTTTTGGGTTTTAAAAGAGGGGGCATCGGCGTATCCTCTTGCTTAAAACAACAAAAAGCAGACACCAAACTAGCGCCGGATGCAAAGATTTTTGAGGTGGCACTTCTCATTAACCATTTTTGTTATATCTCTAAGTAAAACAACAAAAACAACTTTCTTTATAAAATGACCGCAGGCAAACAAAAAAAAGCATGAGAATATATACAGAACAATCCATTATGGACTACCCTGTTATACCTAAAATTATTTCTTTTACTATAAAACTGTTATCATAAAACTACTTAAAATTTGCAAGCTGACTATTAATTTAAAAAATAAACTGTGTTTAATAAATAGATGTTACTTAAAACTTATCTTTTTTAAGTTAAAACCTTAACATATTTTACTTGATTCTAAATAGCGGCACGTCAAAGGTTTTGCAGTTAAAAGGCGGCATTTGAACAGTTTTTTGTCGCTTACCGCCTTTTAACTTCAACTTCTTACTGTATTCAATACAGAAAACGAAGCAAGAAAGAATTAACCAACATTTTTTTTAAACGAAACTTGCTCTATTGTCCAAAAAAAATACCTCTAAATAACTAAATATAGTATATGCAATTAGTGTTGAACAATAAAATCGAATGTATATATTCTTATTAGTGAAGGACAACATCACAAAGTTTTTGCCATTTTTCTCAAAACTATGGTTTTGTCACTTGCCGCCTTTTAACTACCGACGACAGAAAATGTCTCCGTATTACATTGCATGAACAAAGAATGAGACCCTTATCATCAAAGGTAAAATTGAAGGCAAGCAAGGCCCAGGCAGCAGTTTGTCGTGGATATGAAACACAAGAAGAGATGTTTTAACAAATTATTTAGTATTCATCTGTACAACATATCATCTACCGGGTGTTGCATCGTCGAGCGGGACATAGGAAATCCCATGTAAGTTTTAATGGGGTCACTTATTGGCTTCCCTAATTATTTTAGAGAATAATTCTATTTAGGTTTATTGAAGAGCACTAAAAACCACATTCAAAAAAATAACTTTAGATATATTTGATTAGCCCGTTTACGAGTTATCGCCGATTTCTTTTTAAATATTTCTCCTTTCTTATGGCCCTGTATTTACTTATAAGCATCAGTCAAGGTAACAGATAACTGTCAAATGAAGTTGTCATTTCAGAAACTTATCTATTTAGTGCTTTATTATTATTATTAAAAACTCATACCTACATCGAAAATATTAGCCATGAATTACACTACCGAAGAAAAAGTATTGATGATTAAATGGTATTATCAAGGAAATAGTTATCAAAAGGTGTAGGACATGTTTGCTGCTCTGTATCCGAATAGACCGATACCTGGAAAATCTACAATCGCAAAGAATATCCAGAGATTTAAGACCAAAGGTACCCTAATAAATATCTGCAGATGTGAAGCAAGGCAAGAACAAAGAGAAGATGCAAGAAATGATACCGACTTGAAAGTTTTATTGTGCGTGGAAGAGAACGATGGAATTGCATACTTTAATTCATATGAATTTGTATTTATAAATACCACTTTAAGATTTCCGATGTAGGAATGAGTTTTCAATAATAATAAAGCACGAAATAGGTAAATTTCTGAAATGACAACTTCATTTGACAGTTATCTTTTACCTTGACTGGTGCTCATAAGTAAATACAGGGCCATAAGAAAGGAGAAATATTTAAAAAGAAATCGGCGACAACTCGTAAACGAGCTAATCAAAAATATCTAAAGTTATTCTTTTGAATGTGGGTTTTAGTGCTCTTCAATAAACCTAAATAGAATTATTCTCTAAAATAATTAGGGAAGCCAATAATTGACCCCATTAAAATTTACATGGGATTTCCTATGTCCCGTCTGACGATGTAACACCCGGTATACAACTCTCTCCCTATACTTTTAAAAATAAAAACAAGAATGAAGTGGTCCCAATTAAATTCTACATTAAAAAATGTACATAATGTTGTTACATGTTAAGTTTACTAGTGCAATTTGTTAAAGATATCACTTATCTATAATGACAAAAAGTACATTTTTCTTAATCGTTCAAGTTTTAAGTAATCTTGTAAAAGTTACTCCAAAAAATATGTCACGCATCATTATTCGTTTTAAAATGTAAATCATCGATTCCGTTTCCAGATATCCCGGCAATTTAAATGCTCTTATATAAAGTGATCCTGCGATAAGGTCCATTATAATAATGATCCAAGTTGTAAGCAGGAGAGTTAAATTTACAATGTTGCATCAAGTCGAAAGTGTCTACAGTATACCCCGTATCGGATTTTTATGCTTATATATTATTTTTTATATCGCTGTCATTTTATATTTACATATAAAATGATACATATTTATATAAGGCGAGTCTTAAATAAGTGCAAATATTTTTAGGGCTGGTAGATCTCGATAAAAAAAACGTATTTTCACCGTTTACCAAGTAAGTCCAAAATAACGGAGATATTTAACTTTGAAAATTAAAAAAAATGAATTTTCGCTTAAATTTTGTGAACCACTGGATCTTTTCTGGGTATTCTTTCTTGTAAACTTAATCTACTACCTATGTTGCCATATTATGAAGAGATTATTTTTTTAAGTAAATATTAAAAAATCCAAATTTAAAAAAAAATCGCGAAAAAAACCTTGTAGACGTGTTTCTGGGGTTAAAATATAGGTACTACTCCTAAAATATTTGCACTTATTTAAGACTCACCCTGTATAATCGGTAATAGCAAAAATGTTATACCATTGTTAATTTAAACCGGCCATTGTATCTCCAGATACAAAATATTTAATATTTACCTTATGATCAAAAAGATTTTCAATCAAGCGGGCTTAAATTTTGACAGTTAAATAAAATCTAATTTTCCTAGTAAGAGTTGTTAATCTGTCATAGGTCAAAGTACTCTTGATTGTAAGACTTTTTGATTATATTGTAATTTAGGCACTAGATTGTGAAGTTAAGTTATATTAATAAAGATTGATTGAGACTTACCGTCGAATTTATGAAGTGAAGCCATATCCAAACGACTAGCGGAAGAAGCATCTTCATTTTCGCTAAAAAAAATAAAATATATTAATTGATATATTTTCAAAATAGACGCAATATTAAAAGAAGAAAGACCAGCAACAAAGAAGTAAATATATTTTACTTCACAGATATAAGAAAGTTATAATTCCTTTTTTTAAATTAAATTGGTACCTATTATAAACAGATAAATAGCATGTAAAGTCTTAGATTATGTAGGTATGTATATTTTGCACCTTATAAATCCTTCAAACTCAAAAAAGATAGAAATCCGTTTTCAGCAATCCACGAGTCACTCTCTAGATTATATTAAGTAATACAGCATGCTAATATAATATGTTTCTCAAAAGGGGCTCACCCCTAAAACTTTTTTTATTATTTCAGATAAACAAACGAGATTTGGTACGTTAGTATATGACATAAATTAGGATTGATTGACGTATTCAATTATTTTCGGTCACTTCCTGTTTCACCGGAAATGACTACAACTTTTGATTTTTAAATAACATCCTTGGTATTTTTTACTTTATTCGATAGAAAATGGCACTCTGAATAAAATGATAAATCGTATGTCAACTTTAACATTCTGGCTTAAAAAAATTGTATTTTAAATTTCAATCTAGAATGCCATGGCTGTGTTAAAAATAATAATTTTTAATCTAGGGGCTTTAGAAAAATAAATTTGATCGTCTAATGTTTTTCGTGTCTTATCATGGCTGCTTGAAAGGTGTCCAAATCGTATCTTTAAACATAACTCAATTTTTTCAAATGAAACGGCTCATTAGCATATTTGAAAAATCATTTTTTTTCGAATAGTTTGGCACCACACACCTGATATTTCGAGTCAAATTGTCGTTACATTTATGGCCACGGCACTCTAAATTTAAATATAAAATTCAATTTTTTTTTAATTGAAAGTGTCAAAAGTTGGCATACGATATGTCATTTTATTCAGAATGTCATTTTCTATCAAATAAAATAAGAAAACACTGAGGGTGTCATTTAAAAAACAAAAGTTTAGTCATTTCCGGTGAAACAGGAAGTGATCGAAAACAAATTAATATGTCAACCAATTCTAATTTATGCCATATACTAAATCTCCCTTTTTTATCTGAAAAAATAAACAATTAGTAAGAGTGAACCACTTTTGAAAAACACCCGGTATTTATTTAACAACTCATATTGTTTAGATGCTATTAAAACATTATATTTAATTTAAAATAATAATAAATCAAGCAACTGTAAATCGATACCTAAATAACACAAAATATCATTGTTGTTCTTAAACGTTATAAATAAAGTGATTACGAAACTGAAGGCAATTCATTGAAAACCAATAAAGCAAAATGTATTATCTTTGAAAATATCAACTAGTCACAATTAAGCCAACAACAAAGTTGGTTGCCTATTGCCAATGAAATGTGAAAGGTGGTCTAAATCATGAGTCTGGTATCTAAGAACCATACGGCGTACAAGGTTGCACTTATTTGTCGTGCCGTAGTTCTTAGACATTTTTTCGGTAGAAGCAGTGGAAAGATTATTATATAAACAAATGTAAATAGGTATGCAGTAATAATGCAAGGAATTTAAACAGATTAGATTTTTCTTGAGGTTTGTGGTTTAACTGGACGTTGATGTCTCCTTGTTTTATTATTGTTATTGTGATCTGTTTATTGTTATAATATTATTCGTAGGTACTTTATATATATGTTTTATACCAATTAAACTTTTAGTTACGTAATTGAGAGCGCGATTTTTGTCCATTGTCCATTGTTGCCAACCATGGACGTATTCGTTGCCGGGCTGACTAACAGGATTTTAAATTTCCCGCTGGGAATTCAGGTGGTAGTCCTGTTGTGAAAAATGTCAAGTTGTCACATTTAGGCAACCGTATTAGTATTCCGTTGCTTACCTTGGTTATGGTTTTATGTTTTATGTTCCGTTTCTATCAGTTTCCTGAAAGTTTTCTTATTACAGAACACGGTTCCTGAAAAATTCGGTTATAACTGTCACATGACTGTCACCAAACTAACCAGCGCGAGAAGGCTGGTTTTTGTGGTTTTGTTAGTCAATCAATGTCATTTATGTGAGAGAAATCAAGCAAATATTGGAAGTTCGAGTGAAATTCTCATTTAATTTCTAAAATTTGTTATAATATTTTGTATTTATATCCAAAAGCAATGGAGGTAGGCAGTAAAGTTAAATAAATTTCATTAACTAAATAGAATGACTTTCTAGGACCATTTAAACTTATCATGGAGCCATTGTTTCTTAAAGTCAGGAACATTTAAAGAAAACATGAAAAACAAGACAAAAAGTAATCGTGAATGTTTTGTAAGCTATAAAAATATAAATATTGATTAGATTTGTTTATTTTTTATTGATCTGTTTTAATATTGGACCTGCAAATCTTCACTTGAGCTGTCTAACGAGTTTAACAGTTTATTAATAAAGTACTTTTCAATATTAAACTCCACTGAAAAGAAGAAGCAAACGTAAAAGCAGAGAACAGGTACATTAAAAATGCATAAAAGATAAATTTTATAATAAAGGTATTGAAATTTAGAAAACGTCAACATTTGACATTTCCAGTATTTTACCAAACTGTTCCGTATCAAACCGATGTTTTTCAGGAACCGCTCTTTACCGTAGTTTACCGATCCTGTTCGCCTGGTTTTGCAACGGAATACAGCCTTATTTATTTATTTCCTGACATTGTGATTCGTTTTGACACTTTAATTTTGTATTACAATTTGGATTAAATTAATTGTATTGTGATACTTTAACTTTAAAAATGTTTACTAGCAGTCCTCGCAGTCGAACGTTGTTCTTTTTAGTTCCTCTTTTAGTGCGAAGAGTACAAGATAGCTTAATAGCCTTAAAAACTCATTGCAACTTTATTAGAATATTTTGAACGGGAAAGCGGTAGTAATGGCCCTTTATGTCCCTTAAGTGCTGTTAAGAAAGTGGATTTTGTTGATGTAAATAATAACTGTTTATATATTTGTAATTAATTTATTTTTGTTCCCTGAAATATTTTAATTAAAAAAAAAATATAAAAGTGGACAACGCTGTGCCGGTCAAGCTTAATCACGTGACTAAAAGTTTATTTGATATGAACTATAGGTATATTATATGCTTTTACTATTTATTGTATTTCGTATGCGTCGCGTATTTTTTTAAATTTATTAATACAAGCCACATATGAAAAAGTTAAATTTTAATTCTTAGTATAGAAAAATTCAACTATTTTAAAATATATTTAATAACATAGGAGTTTAATGATCTGGACAAATACAAGTTCAAAAAATATTTCTTTCTTATTATGTTTTTATTTCAGTAGTAACGAACATAAATAAGTACAAGAACAACTATAATGGTCCTAATTATTATACTGTGTTGCCACTAACTTGTAATAGACCATAATGAACTCATTACTGAACTTAAATAGAAAAAAAGTGTTTTTCAGGCAGGCCATATTTGATATTAAATTATATGTTGAGTGTAAAAATAAATTATAGGTATGTCTCAATTATTTCTCATGGCATGTTTGTAACCAAACGTCTCTATTATATTACTCTGTATATATTGCATATGGTCTGATGTTATATATAGATACAGATTAGAATAAAACAACTTAAAAAGGTAGGTAAAGATATTCTTTATGGGGTTTGTTGTAGTTTTGGGGATAATATTATATTAGTTAATTCCAATTTCCAGTGTTATAGAATTGCTGAAGTTACTGCATATAACTAAGTTTTGGAACTAAGATATTGCAGAAATTAACCATTCAAATTAATTTGACTGATATGTATAAATTAGACAATCAATAAATAAGTAAAAAAAACAGCAAAATACGAATAAAATTATACAGGTATTTAATCAGCTGACAAATGGAACCGGAAACTATGGTCCAAGATCATAACAAGCTCTGCCCTATAGTAAATGTTTTTCAGGAAGACAAAATAAAAAAAATGTAAACAATATAGCAAATTTTTAAGTTTAGTACACGTTATCGCTATGTGTAGCAACTGTATTGGACATGGTAAGTCCGACAACTTTAAAAGAAGCCTAATATTATAGTACACTATTCTTGACTTGAACATTACTTTTTCTGATAAAAACTTGCAGTACTGAAGATATTCTTTTTCATATAAGCTTTTTAATCAAATCACTTTCTGAATACAAAATAACTATTAAAAGAATGTTGGTTTTCGTCCCACTGATGTTAGTACTAATATTAGTACTGGTGGGGATTCTCTTCAACTTGAAGAAAGGAAAAAATCGAAATTGTGGAAATCTTTAGTTGGACTCCATTTGTTACTACACTCATTTTTTAAGCAATTTATAGCTAAATTATTTGACTTTTTAATATCTCTTTCTAAATAAAAAATGAAATTTGCCAATCTGTCAATTATACAAAATGTTGATATTTTGGTGAACATTCGAAACACCCTGTGGAGTATGTTAATAAAGTAAGGAATTTAAAAATAATTGTATCATCTAGGTGAATACTTTTTTGATAGTTTGTTTTTTGGTTCATTTCAATAGCTTTATTTCTTTTAGAGATATTGACTTTTCAAGAAAACACTAACATATTTTCGTATCTTGATATTTAAGCTATACCTTTGCTTTTAGTCAAAAAAACTATAAAATAGTGTTTATGATTTATGCAATGTCTGTCTTTGAAAAATCATATTATTTTTGTTTATTGAGGTTTACTTTGGTGGAGATGTTTTTAAGTTCTGAAATAACAGCTATTGCTGCTTTAACTCGTCATGGTAGATTTCTTTCTTTCGGTTTTAAAACTATGATTTAGACTATGATTTTTCAAGGACAGACATTACAGAAGACTATTACTAGGACTTATTAGTAGGACCAAAAGCAAAGGTATGGCCTTAACTAAAAAATACGAAAAAATGTTAGTGTCTTCTTCAAAAGCCAATATCTCTGAAAAATAGAACTATTGAGATGAACCAAAAAACAAATTATCGTAGATGATAAAATTATTTTTAAATTCCTTGCTTTG